GTTTATTAGAGAGAAGGGTTTATTAGAGAGGGAGGTTTATTAGAGAGGAGGGTTTATTAGAGAGGGGGTTTATTAGAGAGGGAAGTTTATTAGAGAGGAGGGTTTATTAGAGAGGGAGGTTTATTAGAGAGGAGGGTTTATTAGAGGGGGGGTTTATTAGAGAGGGGAGTTTATTAGAGAGGGGGTTTATTAGAGAGGGAGGGCTTATCGGTGAGGGTGCTAAACAAAGTATTCACAAATGGCAAGTCTGAATGGTTAAAAGGTGGTAATCTTGATAACTTCAATGAATTCTTAACTTAGGTTGGAAACTGGACATGTTTAATTATGACTTTACCTCTGAAGGTGCATCTTTTGGTCTGAAATGAAAACAATTAAACACAAGATATTAGTACAGGCCAATAGCTAGCTCATTCTACATTACACATAATCATTTATTATTCATCATGTTAATGTCAACCTACTCTTTTTTAATTCTTCGCACAGGTATCGTTGGTGCATATGTTCGCTGGAAATGGGAAAAAAAATTCGTTCCAGAAAAGGTCCACACTCTCCCCACAGAGTGGGGGGATGTACTTCTGATGGGAGGATTAATTTCCAATTTCCTCTTCGGCAGAAGTCAGGAAGATTTCTGGAATGGCCACAACTCATTAGGTCTCAAAAAATATAAGTAATGTTTAGAGAATACCTTGGTTGTTCCTCCAAGGCTTAAATCTCGCGGTGTTCGCAATGATTGAAGTCTGCCCCTGAAATAATAAAAGTTGGTGATCTTTAACACAATATGGTAATTTTACATCAAATGTCACACAATGCAAATATGGAGGCATTATTAAAGATGCTGTAAAGTCTGTTCTACGAAGGCCTACATTCCAGTGGTCGGGACCTGACCGTTGGAATGTTGCTAATATTTTGCACCTTACGAACTTTCTTGAATTGAATCTCTAGTCTGTATTCATTTACAAGCATAGCGAACCAGAAGAGTGTTAAAAAGTTAGCATAATATATATCTAATCATATTTAGCACTGAGTTCAGAATGTAAACAAAGCGTTTGTTTTCATTACAGACTTTACAGCATCCACATGTCCAGATATGTCATCTGCCTCTTTTATATGTCATATTGGCAATCAAGAGAATACAAAACCTTGGCAATGAACTTCCTCTTTTACTTGCCAACCCTGCAACAACAAAGTAAAAATGTTATATTATTATCACAGATTATAAGATGTTTATATAACCCTGACTCTTAGCCATGCCAATGCTTTGCCCTTGATGAGTAAAACCATCTTGCATTAGACGGAGTAAAATAATAAAGTGGGGCACAATTAAATCAAATTTCCACAAAAAGTAGGCCATACTTGTATAAATGTTGAAGGCCACAGTGGTAGGGGGGAGGGAATGCTCTGCCAGCTCTGGTGCAGAGTTGTATTGGTCATGTGTGCCGCCCATCCATCAACTTGCTTCAGTTGCTTGACTACTGCAATTTCATCCCCCTGCACCCCTCTGGCCAGGGCTAGGGAGGGGGTGTGCGAATCCCCCCCCCCCCCAGTAAATCCATTCCCGCATCCTCCACATTCTTAAAACAAAACGTGAACTGTCAGAAATTTCATTCACTTACCCTGCATTGTTTGGGCTAATTTTTTTACATCCGGCTTCTTTTCGGCCATTTTGGTATTTCTTTTATACAATGCTACTATACTAAATCATTTCTCTTTCGTACAACTCAGTAAACACAATTAAATACGGACTCAAACTTGTACATTTTGAAAAAGTCGCTCATTGCAATCCGCCATTTTAAAAAATGCACGGGCTGTCAATTCTTAATTATGGATTTATTCAGGGGGGTTAAATCATCATTTCCACGCTCCAAATATATTTTGGCTCAAATCCAAATTTGAAAAAACTTTATAAACGTACAGAATATTTATTTATTTTAATAAAGAGATGTAAATGGAGGTCAAATATACAATATTTTGTGAAACGTTTTCAGTTTTTTACCAAATTTGATATTGAAAGTTAAGGATAGAACACATAATACACTCCCCCCGGATTTTAAACTTTGCCCTATTCTTCCGGTCAGATCACGGTAAGGGGTGTAATAACAACTGCAATCATATGCATATTAATTTTGCAATATTTTGTATTTTAAGATATAAAACATAGCTACAGACTCAATACATTGTCCTTTTTGTTTATTTTAATCGGTGGTAGCATAAGAAATCTTGTGTTGAATTCATGTCCAACTCGGAAAATTTGCAAACGGCTAGAAGACGCCAAAAAGAAGGGGCTCTGAACGGCGAAAAAGTGGAGCAGAAAGCTCACAGTGAACAGTCTGCTCTGAATATCGCAGACGAATCGAAACCTGTTGAGGTAGGCTGTTGTGTGTGTATTGTAAGATTAAAGAAACTCTTTAGTTATAAAGCTATAAAACATTTAATTTTAAGGGTAGCGGTTGACATTTTAGTGGAAATTAAGATCAATGTTGATCAAGTAGTTGTTGACATCATGTGATCGCGTGTTTTGACCCAAAGTCCAAAATTATTAAAAACGTCGTTGACATCTGTCGATAGCGGCTTTGGCCTGTCATTTTGTTATAGCTTCCAATATTGCATCATTTCTGGCTTTGATTGAATACTGCAAAGGTTGAAATGCAACATTTAATAATTGTAATACAGCATATATGTTTGATGTCATTTGAGCAATTACTATGTCCAATTACTATGCCCTTGGTAAGCCCTTGGTAAGCCCTTGGCATCAAAGGGCAAAGGCTTACCGAAGCGACAGATTAGAGACTTCACAGAAATCCGACTTCTTGTTGGCGCCCATGATTTTGCCTTAAACTGTTGCAATTCTGTCGCAATGTTCCTAACCAGTGTGCATAAGAGGGGCATTCACCCCCGAAAATACTCAAAATGGCAAGCATTTAGGGGGTGAATGCCTCTTGTAAGCCCACTGGCTAGAAACGAGAAGGCGTGGCAGTGGTTACCTTTTTTGGCTGAGTCTGTGTCTATTCTGTGCCGAAGCTGTGTTAACATTACAAGCCTAGGTCTAGGCTAGCTTGGCCAGATTTTCACATTTGATTGATAATATGTCACTGTTATTTAGCAACAAGAAGACAAAGAGCAATTCCTGGCTACTTTAAATCCCAGGTATTGTCATTATTCCATTTGAATCTGTTCATTAATACATTTTAAGCTGCAGAGCTTCCCCATTGAAGAGTAAAATTGTCTGGCATTAGACAAGTAAAAAATATAAGTAGGGCGCAATGGGGTACATTATGGCTCAATGGGTTAACTGGAGACATTGTCAGATTTTTTGGTTAACCATTAAGCTGGAGAGCTTCCCCATTGATGAGTAAAATTGTCTGGCGTTAGTCAAGTAAAAAAATAAGTAGGGCGCATTGTGGCTCAATGGGTTAAAGTATTGCTGGGAATACTTAAATTGCCTTTATTAAAAATGCTTCGTTAAATAATTACTAGATGGCGAAACTGGTGGATCAGAACCATATTTACGTGGTTCATGATTGGATCATTCTTCTTTATTCTTTACCTCGGACCTCTAGCTGTGATTGTATTGGTAGGTTTTGTTCACTTTTTCTATTAAAAACTTATGTAAACTATGGAGTGACTTGATATTTTAAACATTTGGAGAGTAGCTGTGTTTAAGAAACTATCAAAGGCCACCTTAAGTTCAACCTACTATTTATGGAAAACTGCAGATAGCCACCTTAATTAGATTTGGAGTGTAAAGCTTATTTGGCGAACTGCAACAAAGTGTAAAGCTTATTTGGCAAACTGCAGACAGTCACCTTAAAATAGATTTGGTAGATCGGATAAACTGTCAAAAGCCACTTTAAGTGCAACTTGTTTATATGGGAATTATAGTGAGCCACCTTAAGTGCAACTGTTAAGAGCCACCTTAACATTGGCTCGTTATTTGGAAAACTGTAGATAGCCACTTTAAAATTTAGAATGAATAAACTGTCAAAAGCCACCTTAAGTGCAGCTTGTTATTGTGTAGAGAGCCACCTTAAGTGCAACTTGTTATATGTGTATAGAGCCACCTTAAGCGCAGCTTGTTATATGTGTATACAGCCACCTTTAGTGCAGCTTGTTGCTAGAAAAGTATAGGTAGAGCTACCTTAAGATAAGATTTTTTTGGAAAAATGTAGAGGACCACCTTAATTATTTTCAATCTATTTTCTCAGATCCAATGTATTCAAATCAAATGTTTTCATGAGATTATCTCTATTGGTCATAAGAAGTATCAGAGTTTAAGTCTGCCTTTGTTCCGAACTTTGAGCTGGTAAGTATATTATTATGAATGGCCTGATTTATAGGAGAGATAGACATACATCCCCCCCCCTGCCCTCTACAATGGTTGGTAACTATATTCGCTTCTTCTTCAGGTACTTTTTACTCTGTAGCAATTACTTCTTTTATGGTGAAAGCATCTCTGAATACTTTCAAGGATTACTTACTCATGAGGTATGTTAAGTCTCAAACCTTAAGTGATGGGGTTTGGACAGGAGTTAACATTAAAAATTGGAAATATCACATTCTCCAAATATTTTTCTCCATTACAGCACATTATTTTACAATATCTAATTCAATACCATCGACTAATATCTTATGGAATGTATTGTATTGGTAGGTAGAAAATTCTGATAGTCTGTCTAAAACTTTGAAAATATAAAGATAAAGACTGTACTCCATAGCTGTTAGCCATGAGTAAAACCATGTTCATTTCTTAATCAAATTGAAAATATTATTGCCATTATAGGAATAATGTTGTTTGTCAACAGCTTGAAAAAAGACTTTTATAAAAAACAATTTGCTCTGGTTGGTATATTCCTTTGGTTTTAATTTTGTCAATTCTAAACTGTTCTTCCTATAAAGAGGTCCATTCCAGGATGCACTTTGCTTCACCTAGAATATTTTTATATTTTCTTCAATATTTTTTCAGTTTGGTTGGACTCACATCACACTTCTGGTGATTGTCACACAGTCGCATCTTGTCATCCAGACTTTGTTTGAAGGAATGATGTGGTAGGAATGACTTATTGTTCACACAGATAATGGTAAAAAAGATCTGCACCTTAGGGACTGGTCATTATTTATGACCGGGGGGGGGGGGGCATGGGAGAAACATTTTCTTGGCCAAATTTTTTAGTGACCCAACCTTCAAAAAAATCTCCACCCAACCCCAGCACTCATTCAAAAATCTTAGACCCACCCTAACTTAATTTTGTCAATATAAGCTAAATTGACTTATTTGAGTTTTTGAGAGAACAAAAAACCCAACAAGTATGAACTCTGTCACTTTATCATGACTGTTATGGCAGGTTCAAATGGAATACTTTGCAAATCAATATATAAAGTAAATTGTATTTATTCGATCTTGATAAAACAAGTAATAAATACAACTATTTTAGTATTTTCTGACTTAATGATTTTTACTTTACCCACCCCTTGGCTTGGTGAATTTTTATACAACCCACCCATTTCCACCCATAAAATTTTGTTAACCCCCATTTTCTCTTCGGGCCCCCCCCCCTGGCCATAAATAATGACCGGTCCCTTGCAAGCAATGATTTGTTTTTTGTAGAAACCTTGTACTATAGTAGTGTACACTACTATAGTAGTGTTATCAATGTATATATGTATCAGTTTAAAGTGATGAAATAATTTCTATTTCCTATTCTATTGCGCATTTTTCCCATGATTAGATTAATAAAACCCAAGTATTACTTGACAGGTTTTTCCTGCCAGTATCAATGGTGATATGTAATGATATTTGGGCTTATATTTTTGGTAAGACTTTGGTTTTTATACTTTAACTTTTATTTTCACTATGTATTACCAGATGGTAAACAACGTTTTAACATTTTTTACAGGCTTTTTCTTTGGAAAAACACCATTAATCAAGGTATATTAATAAAGCATTAGAAACAAGGTTTCTTAAACGATTTTTCAGCAATCTGCGTGGTAGAAATATTATGAATACGTAGTAAATTAACGTGTTAATGATTGTTTTAATATTTTTAACAGCTGTCGCCAAAAAAGACGTGGGAAGGTTTCATAGGTGGAGCTATCATGACGATCGTTTATTCTTTTGTTGTACGTATCAAATTGTGTCTATTGAAATCAATAGACCTTTCCCCTTATGAGTGAAATTTTGATCTAGATATGCCTGCACAAAAATTTCATCACAGCTTGAAAGAGCATCACAAAATTAGTAATATTCCGAAGTTTCGTTGCGAAATGTTGTAAAATGCGGAGAATATAGGGAAAATACGGGAAATTGATAATCAGATGATCAAACTGATTACCAATTTCCCATTTGTAATACGAAATGACTGGAAAACGGCAAACTTCGCAAGGCTATATTATCCGCATTTTACAACATTTCGCAACGAAACTTTGGAATATTACTAATTTTGTGATGCTCTTTCAAGCTGTGATGAAATATTCGTCCAGACTTGTCTAGATCAAAATTTCACTCAAAAGGGGAAAGGTCTATTTGCTATTCATATAGATACATTTATGAACAAAGAAACGACTTGGTCTGAATTTGTTATATTAAATTTCAGGGAGTATATATAATGTGTCAATTCGAGTACTTCACTTGTCCTGTCGAGGTTAGTGTCCAATCAGCGAATCCAACGAAACACTTCATTGTATTGAAATGTCTTTTGTTTCTTGTCCATAACTTAACTATTTTCGTTTCTCCCATAGTACAACAGCGAAAGTAAGACATTCCTCACATCATGTACACCAGCAGCGCTTTATCAAATCACCTCCTATCCCCTACCAGTATTTCTTCATTACCCAGTACAAATGGTAAGTGGTAACGATTTACACCCATTTTGCCTCCTCTGAAATTAGCGTTCCTAAAAGGCACGGATACTCGGTGGTGTCAAGTAACGAAGTAAATGTACTTCGTTACTGTACTTGAGTACTATTTTTGAGAAGTCAGCATGTAACAAAGTGAACTTTTTCTGGAGTACTTTTACCTGGAACGAAGTCGTTTTAAGAAGTAACGTTTTACTTCGTTATTTTCATTTTGTGGCGAAGTATTTCGTTACTTTCGAACTTTTGTTTAATCTTACGTGATTTATTCCTGATTTATTTTAATATTGGGACAGGTAATAGGACCTCTAGATGTGTCTGGAATCTCTCATTTGTACTTGGCTTTCTTATAAACACTAATTTCAATGGGGTCTGCATTTTCTTTCGTGTCGAAGTCATTAGTTCCACTCTGGTGCTCAGGAAACAAAGAAATACGCTACGTTTCGGTACGATTGAAGTGGAAAACAGGCTTAAATGTAGCCTGTGATTTCATGTTTTTTTTCTATGTAGTTGGGTTTTGAAAAAGCTGTTATTTGGATGTATCCGATGCAGATTCACGCTTTCTTCCTGGCGTTGTTTTCATCTTTGATCGCTCCATTCGGTGGCTTCTTCGCAAGTGGTTTCAAACGTGCATTCAAAGTGAAGGTATAGAAATAATTATTTTTGCTAGACTGCTAGTGCACGTGCCTTTTATCTCTGTGATTGCAGTTCAATTCCTGCAGTTCGCATCAGGGAAGTGTGCTGAGCCAATGAAGGAAGCCTTTACTGGATCTCTAGGAAGAACAGTTTAGAACTGATAGAGCTATCCAGTGTAAATAAAGTTAGTTTAGTTTAGGTTCCCTCCTGTAGCAACACTGGATCAATAAGAGATTATCCTTACTGGACCTCTAGGGAGAACAGTTTAGAACTGATAGAGCTGTCCAGTACAAATAAAGTTAGTTTAGGTTTCCTCCTGTAGTAACACTGGATCAATAAGAGATGATCCTAACTGGACCTCTAGGGAGAACAGTTTAGAACTGATAGAGCTCTCCAGTGTAAATAAAGTTAGTTTAGTTTAAGTTTCCTCCTGTAGTAACACTCGATCAATAAGAGATGATCCTTACTGGACCTCTAGGGAGAACAGTTTAGAACTGATAGAGCTATCCAGTGTAAATAAAGTTAGTTTAG